TGAGGTTGCTGTGAGCTAGGCTGACGCCACGGCACTCACTCTAGCCCGGGCAACACAGTGAGACTCTGTCTCAAAAAAAAAAAAAGATGGAAAAAATTAGTTGTACAGGACAAGCAAAGATAACTGTATAAAATTAGATTAGTATAATTCAGTACATTTTGCAAATAGGGCCCGAGCGTTTTGACATTTTAAATGGTTCTATTACAATTATTGAAACTACTATAGTATTAATAACTTCAAGTGAATACAAAGAGTGAGCTCTCTGCAAGAAAATATGTAGTGAGACTACATATTTGGGAACACCAACAGCTTTTGGTGGAGGGAGAGAAAAAACCCGTGGATGAATGAAAAAGATGCCAAAAATAAATACAAATCAACTACCATATCTACAAACAGCTGGCCTTAAGAACAGTTAGAAATCCTTGGACTTGATTTTTGGCAAGGAGCTTTTGTTCAAAATGTTTCAAAAGACCATGAGAATGGCAAAAGTATTTTGTCTTCAAATAAAGTACAAGTTCTTTATTATCTTATTTTTTTTAATTAACTCAAGTTTTTCTTCCTGATTAGAGAGGGCTTAGAGCTTGTTCTCACTTCTTTGGTGGGAAAAGTATAGAATCACTCCTTGTTCCCCTTAATTTTACCTACAGAAAGAATCTGCAATGGAATAAATGATCAGTGGTTACCAGGAATAAAGGATCCCTGGTTACCAATGCGCTATGTGTAGCACTCCACTGTTAATCCTTTCCTTCTTCTCTTTCAAGTGGTATTCATCATGCTTCTCTTGGAAGTCTTCTCAACTTCTACCTTATGTTGACAGAATATTTTCTTCTAAATTCTTGTTGAGTGGCCGGATGCGGTAGCCCACGCCTGTTATCCTAGCACTCTGGGAGGCCGAGCAGAAGGATTGCTTGAGGAGTTTGAGACCAGCCTGAGCAAGAGCAAGACCCCCTCTCTACTAAAAATAGACAAATTAGCCGGGTTTTGTGGCGCGCGCCTGTAATCAGCTACTCTGGAGGCTGAGGCAGGAGAATCGCTTGAGCCCAGGAGTTTGAGGTCGCTGTGAGCTAGGGTCACGCCACCGCACTCCAGTCCAGGTGACAGAGTGAGACTCCATCTCAAAAAAATAAATACTTTTGAGAATCTATTTGTAGTAATTATGGAAATAGACATATAACGCTTAAATATATTAATATAACGAACTGTATGTACATATGTATTACAATCTTGATTGTGCCAATAAGCCTGGGTATGGATGATTCAAAAAGGTAGATGATTACAAAATTTTTAAAAATTTGCCCTTGGACATTCCAATTGATTTAACCCGTAAGCCTCGTGTTCTCAGAATTCATTTCAGATCCATCCCCCATCCTCCTCCCCCCACAAACATATATATACATATTTGCGTGTGTGTGTGTGTGTGTGTGTGTGTGTGAGAAAAGCTGACTAAAGAAGCTGGAAAATTGCCCTGTTTCCTCCCGCTGCTTGCTACCAGTGGTTCAAGATTTTTCCTGTTCCACAACTTGCGGGAAACTGGGGAACCTGGTAGAGGAGCCAAGCATTGAACTCTGGCTCAAGCGAAATGTCCCCCACTTTCTTCCCAGCCCGCATGTCCACTAGGAAAAAAATGACTCCGCCTGCTGGGCCCCCTTCCCCAGAAAGCCCTTCCCCAGGGCCGGTCCCACCCAACAGAACTCAAACACCGTCAGCACGCGTAACTCCGGGCCCGCCCCGCCTCCCACTTTTCCCGCCCAGACCCTGCACCTTCCGGAAGGGGGCGTGGCCCGCAGGAAGTTCTCGTGTTACGGAAAGGTAGGCATTTCCGGCTCCGGTGTCATGGCCGGTTGTTACCGTGAAGAGAAGCCAGTGGACCTTGGCGGAAAGAGGCAGCAGTTCGGGAGCCGGTTCCTGAGCGACCCGGCGCGCGTCTTCCACCACAATGCCTGGTAACCGCCCTGCCCCTTGTCTCGCTGCCCTGGAGCCCTCCAAGTAGACCCTGACCGCCGGCCACGAGTCCCGCCGCCCTACCCGAGGCGCTGTCCTCCCAAGGGAGAAGCGTTCCCGGGCCAGCCACTCACCCTGCCCGCAGCCAGGACGTGAGGCCCCTAAGCTGCCCATTTGATTTTCCCAGGGACAATGTGGAGTGGTCCGAAGAGCAGGCCGCGGCAGCGGAGAGGAAAGTCCAGGAGAACAGCTCCCAGCGGGTGTGCCAGGAGAAACAAGGTGCGCCAAGGCGGGCCCCTCCGTGGTATTGACAGCCAGTGAACTGCTGAACGCGCCCTCCCGGAGAGGCCAAAGAACTGTGGCCTCCAAGATCCTTTGTTACTGGCCTGTTGTGGAACTCAGGAGTAGAATGGGAAGGGGATGAGCAAGAAGGGAAGAGGTGGCACTGTAACAAAATCTTGTTAAGGCATG